AGGAAAGTGCTTTGTGTTTCGAAGCTGCCTCTTATTGAAACCTCGGTGAGGCAAGAGGGGAAGGTGACACTGCGTTGATGTCACACATTGTCAGAATGAATATATTATGTGCAGTTACTTAGGCATCTTCTAACATAAGCTGTCGATGTTGTTCCTCCAAAGGGCCCGCATGATCAAGGATGGAGGAATCACCACAATAGAGAACTATTGCTACGAAGATCATGTCATGCTCAAACGAGCTGCCACCCAGTGCGTCCTGAACTTGATGCAAAGTGAAGAGGCAAGCCATTTGTCTTACTATTCAAACTACTTGCTAGTGCAGCGTTAAGACATTTTTTGTGTGCCTTAAGTGCGCACATGTGTGTGTTGTGCCTATTCATAATTGAATATTTGAGTTCTAGAGTTTTAAACCAGGATACCCGGAGAAATAGCATTGCCGCCACTGTGCATGGTCAGCCAGCAATTGGTGTAGTAAAAATGCCCTGAAAGAAAAAAAAAAGTATTTATAATTACAATTTGTTGTTGGCAAAAGATACTAAACCTGAAAATTTATAAGGAACCTGAAACTGCACGTGTGGTCATACAGCAGGTAGAGAGCTTGGGCACCTTTCTTTTCTCTCTCGTTTTTTCTTTGATAGGCACGTATAATCCACCTCTATAATTGCAAGACTTTTCATTTTAACAGAAACAAACACCTTTGTTTCCCTTGCACTTTTTTTGCAGCAGTGCAGCAGTTGCCAAGTACAGCTGCTTGACTAAATATCGACCTCCTCAGTTTCGTTAATCCTTTTCTTGCAGCTTGAATTGCTGGCTGTTTTGGTATGACAACTTTAAGACATTTTTATATATTTACTGCTGCCTCCTTTTTCACCCGAGCTTTGCTAAAGACCACACTTCTTCATTCATAGACCTCCTTCACTAAAGTAATAAGCATCTTTGCTTTCCTCGTTTGTGTGGCGTTAAAAAAATGTCATACCATGCACCCCTTACTGTCAGGAGAATGAACTGTTGCACTGCTATAGACCGCTATCGCCAAATTCATGATACCAATTGTTTTATTTAGAGGTGCAGGCCAGAAAGAAAAAAATTACAGCATATCCACGAGGTGAATGATGACGAGTGGGGTAAAGCGAACAGATGGACGTACGCACGGGTAGAGGCTTCCCCCCACTCATCATCATCCACTCTGTGGATATGGTGTGACACCGTTTTTACTGACATGCAATGCAATGCAACTGGCTATACGACAGTGACGACACGGGACATACGACCCACGGCATAAGGGTCGCCCCTAAAATTGCAATTTTGTTAAGGGAATTTCATTCGTAGATACATGTGTTCTGCATGTGTATCAAATGGAAACGGCAACTGCAAGTGTGATCAAAGCTAGTTACACTTATGTTTGCTGCTAACTCCCCCTTTCCACATATTGAAGTAACGACACGCTTTATTTTAGATTAGAAAAATGAGTGCCGAATAGCATTTCTAATATACTGTGATTCTCTTTTTGTTACTATCACACTTCATGAGCAATACATTTTGCAGGTGGTCACAATATACGAGAAGGGTGATCGAGTGAAATACCTCACGCTGTGCCTCGAGGACGAGGACTATGACACGGCGTTAGCCGCTGCTGGAGCATTGGCCATGCTTACATCAGTCAGCACTGACGCCTGTCGTAAAGTGGTGGAGGTAAGTCTGTTGTCAGGGAAGACTATGGGATGATTGTTGTCCAATGGCACCTGTAGAGCAGAAGTTGACAACTTGCCACTTGCAGTTTTTCTTTAATAGTTCAGAAGAAAAGGTGGATGTCTCAACATACCAGTATGTGCAAAATACTATTATGGAGCCAAAGTGTGAAATTCGTGGTGCCGGTTGCATATAGTTGCTGAAGGTTTAATATATACTGGGGTTTCGATAATCGGTTTGTCATCTTAAGCGTGAACAAGGAAATTTTTTTAAAAAATGTCCCCACTTCCCAGAAGGGAATCTTGAGGGATTGCGAATTCATTGCGTAGCATCCATAATGGTATTTTGCACGTGAGAACCCAGCGTTAGAAGAATAATGTTTTTTTTCTCACACCGTGCAGCCAATAGCCCTGTTCGCCACACGTGACATTTCTTTGTAGCGAAAAACTCTGGATGCATTTCCAGCAGCAGTAGCTAGCGTGCACGGTTAAAAAATACTATGAAGTGAACAAAACAAACAGCGTTCTCGGCTTGGCATTTCACAGAGGCACCTCGAGCTGTTGCTGGCAGCTGCCGACGTCGAAGCGTGACATGGTTGGGGCTCCAGTTGCTAGGGGCGTCCACGTCCGCAGCTGCTGCTATGGGAGAGGGTGGTGGACGGATCCCGACGGACAGCTGATATAGCCCGACTAAGAAATACATTCGCATTTAAAAATTTTCCCTTCTGCATAGGGTATTCAAGATGCATCTTTAATCATTAGCAGACATTCTTTAGGCTTGCTGCGAATAGGCACTCAGCTCTATAGGTCGGCAGACCCAAATCGAGCCATGAGTCCGAGGGGAATGCAGAGTAATATTTTGGCGAGTTTGAGTATGATTGAGTCTGACCAAGATAAGTTTTAGTGAGTCCGAGTTGGTATGGATTAAAATGGTTTTGGTAAGCCATAAAAGCATAATATCTATTTTGAGCGAGCCGAAGTGAGCTCCACTTTTTTCTCTCTTTTTTTTTTTTTTTTTTTTTTTACCGATGCTCTGCTTTGTATTGACCACTGCAGGAGTGAGTTCGTAAAAAAATGCATGCGCAGGTCAAGGACTGGGAGGACATATTTGGCGGCCTGGCGGCTCACCAGGACGAGGGCCTCCAGCACCGTGGCATCTGCATCCTGCACAACCTGGTTCACTCCACACGAGAAGTGGCAGAGAAGCTGGTCGACACTAAGGTACTGGAAGTCCTCCTCGCAGTCAGCCAGATCGAAGGGACAGCCAGCAGCGAGAAAGTGAAGAAACTGGCTCAAGAAACGCTGAAGAAGGCTGAGGAGTGGAAACTCATAGAGAAGTCCGAACAGCCTTCTGAGGGCGACGACGTCGAGTAAAATGTCTCAAGGTTTAGACGACACATAGTGAACGTTGAAGACGGGGGAGAATAAACTCATTTTGTATGTATCTTTGCAAAAATACAGCTTGGTTGTTCACCACTGTTGTAGTTAAGCTAGAAGATGCGGGTATCATTGCTGGCCATGGCAGCCACTTTTTAGTGGGGGTGCAAAGTGAAAGAACACTTACAGACGTCAAAATTAATCGGGACTTCCTACTATGGCGTATCTCATAATCATATTGTGGTTTTGGCAGGTTGAGCCCCCGCAATTTAATTTACTTTGGTTGTTCTTAAACAGCTCTCGACCAGTCATCAATAAATATTTCAAATCTCTGTTTTTACTACTGCGGTGAGTGATGTGTTTAAGGGAGTGTTGCCTATTTGTCTCTATTTCAACATCCTTTAAAGCTTAACTGAGCTGTGTGCAAAAATTGAAGTACAAATCATTCTAAAATCTAATCATTTCTTCCACTGTATGTGTTCTCGTAACCGCTTATACATGTCTGTTTTTTGCGATAAACTTTCAGTTGTTAGTGTGCGCTGTGTCCAGCTGTCTTCCTTTTGTACTTCAATTTTCGTACGCAATAGTTAAGATGAATTACCGACTCGCCTAGCAGTCAATGCTTTAAAGCTTACCTCTGTGTGTACAGACATGATTCACGAAGGAGCCTCAACAGTGCTACTTGTCAACAGAAACTGCTACTCGAAAGTGCTTCTCTATGACATTTACATTCATCTGTGAATCACTTAGCTTCATATGTTGTGAAATTGCAACAACAGGACAGATCTAATCTAAGCTTGTGAATCCAGATGACACACTTGGGGAGAGAGGAATCCCGATTAGGACATTATGTGTGGTTTTCTAGGAAAAACCTGTCGGCACGCTGTCATCTCAGATTTTAAAAACTACGTGGTGTGTCCGTAAAAAAGCAGGATTGAACTTTTTTTTTATTCACAAGTATGTGGCCATTCTGCATTAACGCAGCAATTCCAGGAACTTTAAAGGCTCACTGCAATGCAGAAACTGGAATATGGCCTTTTGAATGGCCTGGGCTAATTCGTGGTGCCATCATTTCATGACCCTTTCCCATCTAGAAAAGAGCAAGGAGTCTGAAAAATTGAGATGGGGCTCTTGGGAGGCTGGGGAGGTTTCGTGATGAAATGCTTTGTCATGAAGTTCATGGGAGGAATTTGGCTTGGCGGACTGTCACGACTTTTTGCCGTTGACAGGTGTCTCGACTGCTGGATCACCTTGAACTTGCTCTCATTTTTCCCAAAGCAATTTGTGCCACTCAAGAACACTTAATAGCACCCATAAACACACTTGATCATTTCACGAGTCCCACATGCCGTTTTACTAAGTTTGAAGTAAAACTTCACCACATAACACTGCTTTAAGCTTTAACTAAATTCATTTCATGGATGACAAGACACCTTGACAGAGGTTCACTTTAAACTCCATCTGCATTCCACGAAGGCTTGGAGGCTACTCGTGCGCTGGTAGTGAAGTCCCCGCTCCTTTACCTACTTCGGGCTGCAAAGATTAGTCCTACTACTTCCTAGATAAATTCTGTATTTCCACGTGCACCTTTCAATGAAGATGAGCACTTATACAAGTTGCTATCTGTACAATACTAACTGCATCTTGGGATGGCACAAGACTGGTTCACCCGACAGGTCTCGGTTTGTACAATGCAAAAAAATGCTAAGATATGCGTTTGCTTGTATTTCAAAAGTTTAATTTTGCTATTAAGGCTGCCGTATAGCCGCATTATTTGAAACCGGGCTTTTTATGCTATCTAAAAATTCCATTGCAGTTTGCGTGCTACAGTTCCGCACATCAATACCACGAAAACGAGTGCGCACAGAAAGTTCCACATGACGTATGCAGTAAGTCAAATATATTTTTTTTCTTTTACCATGTAGTACAACGAAACACATCTGCAAACCAAATTTATTCATGTGCCATTTAGCTTTGATTACAACTTTTCGAGATTAAAACATTACAACAAGAGTCATTGCAAAAACTTAGCAGCATTTTGTTAAAGTGGCACTGAAAATGGCAAATACCAGTGAATTGTATTACATCAAAGAATAAAGCAAAAAACAGAGCAAGGAAGAAAAAAAAGATAAAATTATAACAGGTTATAAAATCTGTACAGCTAAACAAAGCAATGTAAGCATAGATAGTGGGCCTTGATTTTGTTGACAAGTAAAGCTGCTATCTGGTACAAAGAAGAAAAAAAGAAAGCCTCTCGGAAAGGTGGTAAAGACGGTTATTAAAGAATAGTTACACACTCTATAAAAAGCGTCGATAGTGTGTCAAAGACTAAGCACAGAAAAAAAGAAAAGGCCGCAGAAACGTAAGGGAGTCGTTAAAAGCACAACAAGCTCCGATCCAAGACGATAACACGACTTCCACAATGCCATGATTGTGTTGGTGCAAGTGCTAGGCACAGAAGAATGGGTTTCTCCGCAAGACAACACGTGTCAACACGCACACAACGTTCGTAATAGTATATATGTATAGAGTATACGGTAAACTTGCGCACAACCACACGAGAGTGTTGACATGATGTGCAAAAAACACCTCTCACAGGGATGTGAGGGAAGGTTATAAAAGGGCTACGCGATAAAAGGGCTCAAGTTTTCTTTTTTTTCTGTTTAACGGCGAAGCAAAGCACAAGACGCCTCTACTCTCTGCAAGGGTCAACAACTGGAATGTTAGAGTGCGATGACATCGAAAGGAAGTACGACGAGAAGACCCTGCTCTAACGAGTTAAAATAATGCCTGCCGTGTACCCATTGGAAGATAGGAGTGCCAGAAAATCAGACTAAACTAAATGTACTCTATTACGGTCACACCTACGGCCTGACAACTAGCGCGGGAGTGCTGGTCTGGGCCAGTTCTGCCAGGCTGGCAATTCGAGCCAATCTGTTGGATTGTGTAACATCATTGTGAACTCATCAAACAGTTTCTCGATGTGGCAGATTTCGAGAGCATACAGATTAGCAAGCAGAAAAAAAAAAAAACTAACAAAAACAGCAGTTTTCATGAACGTATACCATACCATAACAAATGACTAGAACTAAAAAAAAATGGAGAGTTTAAAATTTACACTCACTATGTGCATGGTTACCAAAATCGAAGAAGAAGTTGTAGCCAAGTGAGAACATGCTCTAAGGCAGCTACTGGCCAACGGTGATGCAAGCGCCATTTTAAAAAGAGTGCTCATTCCTGTAGGGAACAGCCCCGTCACATTGCATTATACAAAACATTATGCAACTCAGTAGCTTCCTCACTTGATGCGAGAACAATGAAAAAAGAAAAAAAGAAAATGCAGATCTGTCTGGGAAGGCTGGTATCACAGCCGTCGCAACAGGCATTAAAAGCAAGCAGCAAAAACTGGTCTTGGAGGTCTCGAAACAGCAGCAGCCATGTCTACGACGAAAATCCCTTCCTTAAGCATATTTTTTTCTTGCATAGCTATGGCCTACGACCTGATAGTAGTCATGAGACGAGTGAAGCCTGTCACGTCCTCGTCTTGGGCTTGGACCTAACGATTCCTAGGCTAATGAAAGATATCAACGCAATGGTACTACTAACTGTTCCCGATCTGGACAGCGCAGCTGCGGACCTCACATCGTGTGCAACGGTAGCAACATAAGTGCTTTTTTTCTGTCTCTACCACATTTCCCGAACATACAAAAAGAATGTTGTGATGACGTTTTCGCGAGGACGCGACACGTTCGACTCGATGGATCCTTGCTGTACGAAGGGGTAGAAAGTGAAGGATGGGTGAATGGGAGGAGGAGGCACCTGTCCCAGCTGATTTAAGAATCTATCGAATTGGTGTGCGTCAGTTCTTTGTAACAGTGTCGGCAAACCGGTACAGGTCGCTTGGTCATGTGCCCGGGTAGACACAACCTCTTGTCTATGCAACGAATGCAGAACACGTCTCCGCAGCTCCAGCAGTGGAACTGAAACAAACGAGGCGTGCAGTTATGTTGGGGTACCGTAATATCTCCAAATCTGTGAAGCAGCTGTGCTTGTGCATACAAGCAGGGCAGAGCTTTTCTACATTCAGGTCCTTCGTTATGTACAAACAATACACAATGGCTACACAGATAGGCTATGTAAGAGCTATGCTAATGCCACTCTGCATTCCTGCACCCCATTGTGCCCAGGAATGCAGCCTGTGTCTTTGTTATTGAAGGCATGTTAAAGAAGAACAGTTATACTACTAACATTAGTAAATTACCCTTCTGAAATAGCAAAACCACGACTCTTGCCACGAGAATATGCATGGCAAGTCAAAAAAATAAAAGGGCGGTAACACCGCCTTGACTTTTCTGCACTAACTTGCTTGTGACTTTTTTCATGGCATCCACTGTGGCCCCATAAATTCATCAGTAAGAAAATTAATGGTGTTATGTTTTAAGTGAGCCAGAGATTTTATTTGCCCAAAAAGACTTTGAAAGCTGCAACATCACTTTTACACTTAACAGTACGAAATTCACAAATAAACTATGCTTAAATTTCTCTTCTAATAATGAATGTGATGCGATTTCAATAAACTTTGCATCCAATAGAACTGCATTCTGTTCATTTATGCTAACAATGTACTACATTACATTAGTACACAAAAAATGGCTAGAAATATGAGAAATTCATTAAATCTACCAACTTCTTCACCACACTAGTACATATACAGCAGACTCGGCAAACGAAAATCTATTATACAATTAGACAAAAATGCTGCCCAATTGGAACATCTACCTTCAATATAATTAGTTTTGTACTTGAATTCTGCACCCATGTTCATTTCACAGTAATATGGACTCTTGTTGAATAGAAGATATCTTCCTGGTTGCTTCAGGGTCCGTTTAATGACAGTCTACTGAATAAGGAATTGGATTACCTTTCTCCTGAAGTGGTCAAACGGTGTGGAGCAGGGACATTCCTTGATGTTCCTAAACGACTTCCAGTCCACAGCAACTGAGTCAAACTCTTCCATTAACTTCTGAAGCACTGTGGAACCAAAACTGTCCCCCAGCTCTGCAACAAAGAAATTCTTTAGAAAGCAAGTTGCGAACCACATGGAAAGATCAAGACGGCGGCAGAAGCAGCGCACTCACTGTGTTGATGCAGCTTCTGTCGAAGCTCCTTGCATTCGTTGTAGTCCGCATCTCCAAACCCCGAGTCACGCACGCTGACGGCCCCTTCTGAAGAGGCCGGCTGGGAGTCCAGCTCGTCCCCGGTCAGCGACTCCCCCAGCACAGAATCCAGGTCCTTGCTCGGGGTGTCCGCGTGGTGCAGCAGCTCTCGCAGCTGCGCTATGCGCTGCACACAGATATGTACTCCTATTATTTGCCAGCTACTACATTTCGCTTAACATAACTGCCAAACCACACTACTTACGTGCCAAAACCTCAATACTGCCACGCATGTTCACTGTATACACTCGTGTAAGAGCCAAACTTACTTCCTGCAATTCTGACGTGCTGCAGCTCTTACGTGGGTCAGGCCCATCTCTTTCTTCAAAAGCCTGGTACTGCCGCTACGACTGTTGTATTTAGCACTGTGAACGGTGCCAAGTGATCACACATACTTTATTTGCGGATTCTCATCATAACTTTTATTTTTGCTGCTACTTGAAGAGTCTGCTACACGGGCCCCCTTTCAGGGGCAGTTTTCTTCCATACCATTCATGTGGTTCATGATTTGATGACGTGATTACAGCCACGTCACAATAAAATCTCAGAGTACTCACGACAATAGGGCTGGAAAAGCCACTTGCGCAATCTACTAACAATTCGTAAAGCCTAACTTACGCTGGTGCATTAGTTTGTATATTTGGAAGCTGAAAACAATCCCTGTCTCTCGGAACCGGGAACCTTGAATTGCAATCACTGTGCCACTGCCGCACCTATTGTGCTTAAAGGGACACTGAACAGGTTTTGAATTCGCGAATTTTTTGCGAATTCGGTATCCGCAACCTCATACAACATGTCTACGAAGGTTTTTTTCGCGAGGTTCTATTAAACAACGGCTCTATGAGCGAGCAAACTTCGACCAAAAGAATGCCCCCTGGCGTGTAGGGGCGGAACACGAGAGAGATAGACACGTGGAGAGGCGACGCTACTATCAGGGTCGAGCCGCGGCCCGGTGGGCAACTGTGTGCTGGACCGCCTGCGTCGCTCAGTTAGCTTAGCTTTTTTACTTAGCGGTTGTGCCTTGTTTCTGCTGCGATTTGCTGCCTGGCGAAGCATCAGTTCTGCCACCAGTTCGTACGGATTTCTCGCCATTGCACTGTTCTCTTCTTCTGATCAGAGAGTTTCGCCATTCAACATTCACTAGTTGAGTTTTTGCAAGGTTGAGGGGACCCGCGATGCCAAGTTACTGCGCGACGTATGTTGCAGCACTTACGGTCACGATGAAGTTGCTTTTCAAAAGTTTCCTCAGGATCAGAAGATGGCTGCAAAATGGGCCGCTGCAGTTATAAGAAAATACTTCAAACCTACAAGATGAAGCGCGCTGTGGCGGTCGCGAGTCTGCCCAATTTTGAGGCAGCAGCAGCACTCCTCTTTCACCATTTGCATGCAGTACGTGCATGAGCACCTATAGCGACAACATATGTACAAAGGTATCAGTACGCATATTCGAAGTCAGCTATTTTACACAACGGTCATATGCTTCTAGCGCAGCTAATACACCGTTTGCATTTTAAAACATCATCAATGTAGTACTGGGCAGAATTTAAAGAAAGCAACGGTATTATATAAAAAAAAGAAAACAGAATTTCAATTTATGAGCCACAGTTTTCGTTCGCAATTTTCAGTCAGAGCACATATCACCACTGCAGCAAGAGCGGCACTCGTCTGCCCCCCCCCCCCCCCCCTTCTTGGGGTAGCACACTGATTCATCGCGTGTGCCTTGCCCGCTGCAAAGTACGATACTGACTGCATTAACAACGCCGCACTCTGAGCTGTGAAATCTACAAATAGCCTGATGTTTCTACATGCTGACCTGCGCGTAGCGTGTATTGTGCCAATAAGCTAAAAGGGAGTGCTGATGCTGCTCTTTCCTATCGAATTTCATATCCACCGATAAGCGTATCATTTGTAACAGTCTACTACAGTAAAATTAAGCACTGGCATGCATCTTATATGTGCCAGTTTATGTTTCCGACGCGGGTGAAGGTGGCTGGTTGGGACTCGCTTTCCTGTGCCGCTTTAGTCGTCGCCCGTAAAGTGGTGACCGGCTCGAACATGTGTGGATGTACAGCGAACTTGGTCCGACTTTCACAGTTTGCCATACTTACAGCAACTGCCCGATTTCAACAGGTAGTGGTGGTGGTAGTGGTAAGAAAAGAAAAAGGCGCCCAATTTCTGCAGCCTGGTAGGAAGCACGGTGCAGCGCCTCAACAGATAAACACGGCATTGACTGCCGGCGAGCGCAGTCAGCTGTCCCCACCTTCCTGACAGTGCCGTCATGGAGGATCAACCAATCACAGCGGCGGCAAGACTCGCGATGGCGGCCGTGGTGCGTGCTGCTTGTTTTCGGCAAAATGAAGTTATTTGCGTTGGTTTATACAAATTTTCGACTGGATTTTCTAATTCGCTGCATGAAATTACGTATCATGACACTATATTCTTGTTTTTTTTTTTAAGTATTTCAGTATCCCTTTAACAAACAACACAGCGCAGTTACCTGCTTAAGATGCATTAACCCTTTACATCCTGTTAATGGGCTCGCACATCTGCACATTTCAAGCAGGTAACATCCACAAAACAAGGTACCATCAAGAAAAATTCTGCAGACTAATTTCCCATTGCGCTGAAATCTAAAAAAACATAGGCTAGCCATCAAAACTTATTTTCTAGGCCGCTACAATATGGCATACATTGTGGATTGTGAGAAAGCAGCAGCAGCCACGATATGCCAAAGCTCTCAACAGTGTGTGCATGTGAAGCCAGTTCTTCGTTGGATGCAGTGTTTGTGCAGTAAAACATATATTCTGCACACCACTATATCTGTCATGCCTAATGTCAAATGTAAAAGTGGCAATGTGATAGAACATAATGTGGAACACGACGCATACAAAATCAGTGGGCTCTGTGTCAAGACCGTGCCAATGCAGCAGCCAGGATAATTCCAACAACCAAAGAAGCATCGATCGGGTTATAAAGTACAAAGCTCAGATCTTTTAACAGTAACACGCACGTCTAAAAGGTACTGCTGACGACCCATAGCATTATTGACGAAGTATGCATAGCAAAAAACAGACACCCACGTCGAAGTTGAATTGACATTCTTGGTAAAATATGTTGCTGAAATAATCAAAATATTTGAGGATTTTCCTAAAAATTTCCACCTCCTATAATTATAATGTACCTAAATCTCGGCACACATGCCTTTAGCATGTTGCCTCCATAGAAATGCGGCTGCTGCAGCCGAGATTCAATTCCATGACTTCCGTGCCAGCAGTCGAACGCCATAACCACCAGAACACCACGGTGGATACAGGTTGCTAGAAGTCTGCTGGAAGCCACCAGTGATCTTGTCGAGGTACAATCTTCCGGCAGTTGAATTCGTCAGTTTTTGCCAATTCACTGGAATGCATCTGCTTTGCTACTAATGATGCAGCATGCATAATCTTAAGTTCTTGCTTAGGAATTTGGTAGTTTGAATGATTAAAGGATCAATTCTGCTGTTATGAGCATTACCCAATGTGAAGGGACGATGCACACACACCTTGACGAGGTGTTGGATGTGGTCTTCCAGGCTGAGGATATGATCTTTTGTAGCGGCCAGGATATCACTCAGGGGTTCACGTGGATGGACTCCATTCTCAAATCGGTTGTACATACCCCTCCAGAACCTGTGGACAAGACACGCATAATGCTGACAGCTCTAAAACTGTTGTTTTGGAACACCTGCATTGAACTTGGACTTGTATGCGCTACGTATTTGTCCGAGAGAATGTCAGTAACATGCACTACCTCTGTTTTTATCAGAAAAAAAATGTATATTTTACTAGCATGACAAGTCTTTCTTAAAGTATGCTCACCAGTGTTAACAGCCATGTTTCCCTACTGAACCACTTTTATGCGCACGCTTGGCCATACCGATTTTGCACTCGGCACCTTCGGTAGCCACTGGCAGTATATATGGCATTGCGACGAAAGTGCAGATTTTTTGTAGTTCTGTGAGGTGCCTCAACACAGGTCCCTTACCATGGAAGGCTGGCAAAACAAAGTAAGTATGTGTGCAACATTAACTTTAGCTTGCATGTGGCACCTGAATCAAGTATTTGTTTGGAAATAAGGTTCGAAGTGCGCAAGCATTTTCGCGTTCCATGCCATTGAGGCATGGCCTAAGGACAAACAACAAAAAAGTTTGTGGAAAGGCTTTTAGCTATGGTTTAATTCTTACCAAGTAGAGAAAGGTGTGTTAAGTTGGTTTATAGAATTTGACGCTCCAAAGCAACTCCAGCTATGTGAGATGTCACAACGGAGAGAGAGAGAGAACACAACTTTATTGTCGTCAGACTTAAGGAGGTAGGTGACCCGCCAGGTTGAACCTGATGGCCACCTCCTCTGCCCTTTGTACGGCCTAGAGGAGGCCGTACAAAGGGCAGAGGAGGTGGCCATCAGGTGGAAAACACTGGATAATTTCACACCTGCAGTTCAAGCCGACACACAAACTCGACATGCACAAACATAGATCTATTGCTCTAGAGACAGCTTCATGCAACATACAACACAGGTGACCCAATATGTTAATGTCTTTCAGCACTATTTTGAGTGTTACCAATGTTTAAAAATCAAACTTGTTGCAGACCTGATGGCCTGTGGAGCCAGTGATGGGTGCAGGGTGTCAGCTCCTCTCCTGTCTGTCCTGTACAGGGGGTTGATGTACTCCGAGATGTGGTTGCCCAAATAGGCCCACAGTGAGTAGGTCCTGGAGCTCAGCCTATGGCAGAAGCATTGTTACTCAGCGATTGCTCGTAAACAGTAGCACTTTCTTCAGTTTCACATTTTGACAGGTGGGACAGAAGGTCTTACGGGCTCACAAACGCAGAATAATTAATTCTACACCCAAGTATGCACACTAATTGAGGAATAAACCTGCCGATGAAGATGAATGCTTTCCGGTTCTCGTTTCTCTAGATTCGCTTGTAAGCAGTCTTTACTGCAGTCAAACATTCCTACAATGAACACGTTTACAATAAAGTTACCAGTATAACCAACTATTCCTAGTATATCTATTCCTAGTACATAATTTGACTGTTCCAAGCACTTTGCTAAAAAAAGGCTTCAATGCATAATCAGACAAGCCCATGAACACTAAACCACAGAGCTAAAGACGATGCTCATGATTACTTGTCAGGTCAATATGACATTGCTATAGTACTGGCAGCTATCTCACCTTGCAAGGTACTGTACTTGCAAATTGAAATGCAAAAATTCAGGGCTAAGTAAAGCGCGTACCTTTGTTTCCATCATCTACAGTTTCTGCCATAGTTAAGAACAGCACGAAAATATTATTCATGTTGACTCACACATACATACAGGCACATGGTCACAAAAAAATCAGGCAATGCAACACGAAAGGCCCCGTCATGCTCTCCCTGTCATGAATAAAGATTAGTTAAGAGTCCGGTACCCATCCTTGTGTTTTCATCATTTTTGTGTCTCGTGTTCTTGCACCGTTCCTAACTACGAACCTAACTGTCTGCTTGTGTCATGTCGGCATAATTTTGAATTGAACACTTACACCAAATCTAAGATTACCATAAATGGCCAGTGTGCAGCAACATGACATAGTTGTCCCAAGCAATTGCTTTTACATTAAAAAAAAAACACAATGTCGCGTTTCAATCCATGAGTACTGTACATATAGTAGAATTCTTGCAAACAGTATGATGATGGCCAACTTTTACAAGATGCTTGCGCATAGTTCAAAGAAGTTTGAAGTAGGTACACAGATCCCCAGTGCCGCTCAATCCCAGCAGTACCGACCTCAAGTCAAGGCGATCCTTCTCGCAGTTCCCGACGAAAGTGCCAAACTGGCACGAGTAGACGTGGTCATGGATGGTGAGCAGGAAACGTTCGTTGAACTGGAACGAGGAGGGAAACTGGTGCATCAGCTGCCAGACGGCGTCCACAAACTGGGTGAACACGGGTGCCACTTCGCGTTGGTCGCCCTGAACCAGGCCACATCGGTCCATGAACTTGTGCCCAAAGGCCAGCCAGTCTTTCTCAATCAAAGCCTGCAAAACGTACAGAGGAAAGACCCTGGTAACGCCAACACTTACATCCTGCCTCAAGAAAATGCTGGTTCCAACACAGAGATGCACTGCGGCGTTACAATGACCCCTTCATCATTTTTTTTTTTCTTATGCTTCACCGCATTACATTCTAGTATTGCAAGAAACCTACCTTTAGAACTCTGCTACAACTAACGAATCTAGGGGTAAGCAGCAATGTGATGCATTTCTAAATGCATTGGTATCTCAGCAGTGAAATACCTTTCATGATCATCATCAGCCCGACTGCAGGGCAAAGGCCTCTCTCATGATCCGCCAATCAACTCGCTCTTGTGCTTTCTGTTGCCACGTTATGCCTTTAAGATGAAATACCTTTAAGATGTATCAATTATATTGTGATACTGCAGAAGAGATAGGTATTGTGCTACTTTTTTTTTTCTTTCGTCAAAAATTAGTGCCCGCTTTCTAAGAGGAAAAAAGGACTTTTGTGCTTTGACAAGCGAAGACGCACCGCTGGCCTTCAACACAGTGAGAGGTACCGAAGCTTTCCTCACACGCACAAAATGACCCACGTAGTAATGTGCCCAATGATGCGGCGGCGGAATATGAAGGCAGTCATGCTCTTCCGACAATAGTCACAGTCTTTCAAGGCAGCTGCCGCACCATTATCTTTTTCACGAGCCTTGTGTCTTTTGCGAGTTTTTTGTTGAGGCTGAACCAGCGTTGTCCAAATGATAATGTAGTATTAGGGATCCTGCTATTTCTTAAGAGCAGCTAATGCAACAACTATCTCAGCAATAGAGATCTTATCTCTAGAATAAATGTATACTTGTGTTCGTAAGTACAGTAGACTTGCGATAATTCAAACACCAATAATTTATACTTGCAGTTATTCAAACAAAATTCAACATTTTGGTTGTCACTCTATTCTCATTTGGTCAACATACCGAATGAGAATACATATCGATTATACATAATCATTCGGTTAATTCATACCTTTTGCAGGTCCATACCAGAAAATATCTGCTGCGTTTCTACTACTATTTAAAAACTTGCAGGCTTATATAATCCTAACAGTCTAAAAATGAAAGATAAGCACCTGAGGCCTTCAAGGAAAAAGGCTTTGCAAGTAAGCAAATGTTTGAAACAAACACAGGCGTGATGAACCGCAATGCTTCTCAACTGGTATAGAGAGCTTTCTGCTGAAGGAATGTACCTATAGCAATGAAGCAGTTGGAAATCCACGATTTCTTTAAAAGGTCTGATAAGCAGTGAATGGCCAATAAGCTTGTGAACTTTGCACCTCTGCTTTCTGTTCACAGCATGCAGTTAGGGCTCAAAAACACTTTAAAGAACTTTAAATGTGATAAAATCAATGCCTACTCATAGTGTGTGATGTCACCTCATCCAGAGTCATATATATGAAAACTTCTTATAATTCAAACTTCTTGATAATTGAAACAAAATTCAGAGGTCTCTCCGAGTTTCAATTAATGAGAGTAGACTGTAATTAAAGTGATATGCTTGACATGCAAGTTTCAATGCAGTGAAACAAACAATACACGTATTGTCCTGCCCCTAATGTATGTGCCTAATGAAGCGTTATTCCCAAATTTAAACAGGTATTACAGTATTTGTATTCTTGTATTTGTATTCCTGTATCTGTATTCCAAAATACATTCTTCTTTGCAAAAGTATTTCAGAAATATCCCATTACGTCAGACAAATGTACCTCAGTATCTGAATATGAGCTTCCAGTGCTTGTATTTCTATATCTGCATTCCAGAATACTTTTCTGAATATCTCTGCCCAGCCTTGAATGAATCGACTCACAGAAGTGCTGATTTGAATCTACATAGCAGAGGTGGGTGCTTTAGGTAATGCCATTATGGACCAGAAATTAAAAAAAATTAGACAGAGATTTTCGGCATACGAAATTTCAGATGTTTTCATACATTCACATCTACAGGGTAGATTAGCAACTTGAAATTTGATGCCCTTGTCTGCCAATCAGCAGAAAAAAAAAGGGAGAGGTGGAGGAAATAGAGTCTTTCTCTTTCACGTGTAAGAAGTTGTGACACCACAATGGTTGCACGAAGTCGTGTAAATACTAAATATAATTCGGCCTATGCAATGCCTTGTCCTTTGTAAAACAACCAGGGAGCACCATCCCTCCAGCACTTCACCATCCTAGCCTTAAAGAAAAAACACTTCCGTGTTCTTACCTCTTAAGAATGTGCTTAAGGATCCTCAGCAACCTTTTTTCTGCAATTTTGCTTCAAGGTATTCGAAAAATATTTCAAAAAAAATATTTGATTCCATTCACAATAAAACTTCATATTTGAATTCGCTTTGCAACCAGAAATTTTTTATTCGCACAGCTCCACAGACTTCCCCACGAAAATTTTTTTGTCAAGTGCAAGTTTCTTAAGCGAACAATTACCGCATCTCGACAGAGGATGACACTACTATATCATAAACCTATGATATGCATGACAGTTTCTCAATACCTCTTTAACCATCTCCCCAAGGAAGACGAGCTGAGCTCGTCCATGCAAATGAAGCTAATCTGATTCATGTTGCCGAGTTCTCCTTCTCTTGAATAGATGGTGCAGTAAAAAAATTGAAAGCACGCTCAAAGTAAGCATTTCGGTATAGAAATGTGTGCTTGCATTTTCAATTTACTATTTTTGGCCAAAAATCTTGGTAAGAAAAAGGTTTATAGCCTCGATGAGGCGGCCTTACTTGGTTTCAAACGATGGTGTGAACCACAAGATTGTGCTAACCTGAAAACCCATGATGGTGCGATAGTAAGGATCCAGCAGGAGGCTTGCCAGGGAGCATGTCTGCGCTGTGCGGTCCCAGCCATCCGAGCAATGCACCAACACGCTCACGCCGTCTTCCACTGCTCGGGCCACAAAGTGCGCGGTCTCCAGAATGGCTCGGACGTGTCGCAGCCACCCGCTTGCCTCCAGTCCTCCCAGAAAGGCCCCCATTGAGGGTTCACTTGCTTCGCACGCTGTAAGATGGCAAAGTCCAGCCGCAACATCCTTTGTCAGATACTATCCGCTTTCACCCATGTTTAAGCATCCCGGTATCATAGTATGCATACTTATTGGCATTTACTGATTGCCAAGTGGCAACTGGAGTTGTGGGCAGCAGTCATAACGATGCTGGCAGTAGCGTGCATATGAACGAAGCTTGACCAGTTGAAATTTTAGTGCTCACTGTCCTACCCTCTCTTCGCTCCCTTTTTTATAGTACGTCAGTTTATGCTAAGTGGCCATAATTTACCTGGCAAACCGGCCAACCCAGCCTGATATACTATGGCTTAATCGACAAAATATTTTGGGTGAGGTTTGTTTAGCTTTGGTTGAGAGCATGCACAGTGAGGGGGCACATCAAGCGTACGCATTCCATGTGCACTGAGAAATATGCATGTCACTCACTGTCGATGAGCTTCTGCAGGCTATTGCGCATTACATGAATGTTTTCTATGCCAAAGAACTGAAACTTGATGTTCTCATAGAAGTTCTCATTCTCGTAGCCTTTTCCAGCAGCCTTGTTAGCCATTGCATTGATCTGCACAAAGGGAGAATACGCATATTATAAGCACAAGAACAGACAACCATCTCTCTAGAGACTAGAACAGTACAATAAATGATGGTTGGTACAGACTTGTTACATTTTTTTTTACCAAGCCGAGCACCTAATGCAGTGCTAAATAAAGAATCTCTGTGAGACCATACAATAAGTCTAGTACGCTTAGACATCTACTTTGGCTGTCACAACAACATTTCCTTGACTTCGCGCAAACTTAAAAGGACAGACCACTGGCAAGAACGTGTAAATAAATTCTGGTGGAAATAAAAAAGACTGTAAATAATAGCGGCAGATTCAAGCATCCTTTTTGCGAGCTAAGTAGAATGTATATTTTTAAATTGTATTTAAAGGTAACAGAAACCGGTACGTCGCGCAGCCTAGCGGAAGAGCTTTGAAGCTCCACTACAAGTAGATTATTTTGCCGTACGTAGCCACTGAGTCTGATGCTGTCATGTGTGCCATAATTTGTCCTCAGAATTACAGTGTGTATATTATTGCTCATTCCTGCTCGATTTTGTGCTGCTTACAAGGTAATTAGCGGCACTGCTTTAATGGCCGCCAGTGGACTGTGGCAAGCCGTGGCGCATGTGCAGAGTGTACACATGCGCAATAAACCAACACGCTCGAACACGAACCACTGCCAGGCTCACTGTTTGCAAATCGCATTGTAACGTGTGTATATGACCTCATATTCACTGGAGATATAAAAATTCTGATAACAAATGTTCCACAGTGCTTCACATTATCATTTTGTAACAAGACACTCTGAGTGGTGAGCTTTCTGTTGCGCAAAAGAAAGTAGGTTGTTGGTCTTTTTATAGAATAGTTGCCTCACAGAAGGCAGGGAATGGTTTCAACCCAAACAGTGCTTTTTTCTGAAGCACATCACTTTAAGTGAACTAGTGGATTATGGTTCATATGGCATTTCATAAAACAAGGGCCATAAAGCTAGTGTGTACCAAATTATCTTTATCTTCTGGCAAGTATTTTTTATAGATAAAAATATCTTTAAAGATAAAAGTACCTTTATCTTTTGGCAAGTGTGTTACGGCTTGTTTATTACCCAGTCATACATACCACAGAAGCAAGTTAAGATAGGAAGTGCAAGAAGCGAGGGCACCACGACTATATCTTATGACAACTTCATCAGCATACGCACAGAAGACAAGTAGATTAACAGTGAGTGGGAGACTCACCCGAGGCCGTGTGTCCACCACATACATAAATTTGGAGGTAGGATTTGATTTCAGGATACAATTCAAAAGTTGCTCGTCTTCAACACATCGTGCTGAGAATCCTGAGAGTGGCTGACTGCATCGGCATATTGCTGCCTGGAAAGAGGATTAATCCAGTTTAGTCGTAGTTCATGAAAGAACACACGCGAGCAGACAAACTACAGTACAATAAAATTAGACGCTAGCCTATTACTTCGCTACGAACAGCATCATTCAATTTATGATGCGTGCATAAGACTTTCGGAGCCCCGTCGGATTACATCCAATAAACATTCAGCACTTGCACTCACCATGTTTTTATTCAGGTAGGAGAGAACGGGCAACCTCCCTTTACTGCGGAACTGACTACTGCCCACGAGTATTGCAGTACTGGCCACGGAGGGGACATATAGGTGCCTAGGGTATGTATCACAAATCTGGAATATAGACCCACAAGAAATTAGTTATGCGATCCCCAGAATGTCAAAGCAAGTAGGATTCATGCTATGTGTGTCCCACTTCAGAGCCCAATTAGCTACAGTCCATTGCAAATTCTACAATAATGCACATGGTCAGTGGCAACACTGTAAACTTGTTCTGCCCTGTGTCTGCACTGCATACACTGCATAGAACTCATGGTGATATACAGATGTTGCCATGCTGCAATGTTGAAACACACTGAAGAATGTGAAGATCACAAAGAACTAAAAGACCTAATGAACCCTTACATCAGGATATGTGAACACATACTCTACAGACATATTAGCATACAACATTGCTTTACTTTATGCTTTAGAGCACATATTTTGATGTGCCTTTCTCCATATGACACTGTGGCTACACCCAGCAAGGCCACAGCAGGAATTTCTATAGATACAGTCTCCTACTTTATGAATTCAGCCATGGAAAGAGAGTAAGCAACTTTTTCCCACCACATATAAGAACAAGGGAGTCACAGACTAAACTGTAAGAATTTATGCGAAGCAAAAATTGTTTGGCATTTGTGGCACACTTCAAATGGCTACAGCGAAGGGACGTAATATTTTTTTCCATACCAGGAATCACCATAAAATAAGTGTTGAAGTGAATGCCATCATAGCTGAAAACAAATTCACTCAATAATAACCACATCACGTGTCCTGCTGTCAATTTGAAGACATGAAAACGGTTGTCAATGGCAGCGACGCAACCACACAATTTTGATATAGCACGCTACCACACAATTTTGAGATAGCACGCTAACCGTATGCTAGGCTATCTAGGCCCCAACTTTTCCACCGTTCCCTCTTCTGTTAAACTAATACTTTATCGGCCTAATTTAGAATATGCTGCCTCTGTGTGGGACCCAATGCAAACAATATTAACCACTGCCTTAGGAATACCTTCGCTCGTTTCATTCTCTCTAAACTACAATCGCATTGCTAGCAAATCAGCTATGAAAGCCATCCTTTCTCTTGCATCTTTAAGCACGCATCGAAAAGTTGCTCGCCTGAACTTGTTCCATAATATATATTATCACCCAACTCTTCACGGCGCACTCCTTCTTCCCCCCAGTATATGTCCCCCCGCATAGATAATAGCCACAAAGTAGGTGTTCGATTTTTCAAAAATGAAAACGTTCTCCCAATCCCTCTCACGACGCACTGCGATCGAGTGGAACCATCTTTAATCTGAAATCACATCAATCACCGACAAACATTTTCGAGTAGCACTAACCAATGTTAATTAAATATATGAGCCCCTTTTACTTTACCGTTATTATTACTTACTGTGTTTGTTTTACTGGTGTATATGTATGTAATTTTTTCCCACCACCCTATGTAATGTCTTTGGCCTTGAGGGGTAAAATGTAAATAGATAAATATCTTTAAAGTATCAACCAAAGCTGGTAAAACTCACCAACCAAAACTAAAATTATTTATATCACATATACGTGAACATGCTCAGTAGATGCTGGTGCCTTAGCTGCAGTGGAGGTGTAAATTGTGGCCTCCATTAGATAATATGCACTGGCTCGTATACTTGTGATGATGCCTCATGGAATAAAGCACGATAAAATAAGTGTACCTCATACTCTTGATTGATATTTGTAGCCGACCAATAGGTGTTTGGCACACCCATTCGAACATACTCCGCTTGGAAGTCGAACTTGCTCCAGCCCATTGCCTTTGTGAGGTCTTCATTTGATGCGGTATAATGGAAGCAGTACAGGTCGTTGATGTGTACTGAAAGAAAATGGGTGCGTAATTTAAAACACTGCACATTAGTGACATTTAAAAGGGGTGCTGAGCAAACTTGCACAAGTGGGCAATGACAAAATGTCTAGTCCACATCAGTAAATTCGTACTCACGGGGCTGGGACAGTTGCTGCAGAGAGATAAAGATGTCATGGCAGTCCCTCTCCTTAGGAATTAAAAAGGTTACACAGAGGAAGTTCTTGCACCTAATTTGAAGCGGCGTGCCGTTTGCCGAAATGGGAAGCTTTGCTATCGACGCAATGTGCATGTGAAGGATCTGCGAATCAAAGAGGTCACAAATAAGAGCTCTTAAAGTGTAAACAGGCTGCGATATTCAAAGGGCAGTGAAACGTTACCCATGTTTCTTTTTTGCGATCTGGGTCGAAAAAAATTAGATGAGTGGTAGTCAGATAAAGGGACCCGGTTGAAGATTTACGGTTGTTGAATCGATCCAGCATGCGGACATTTTCAACCTGCCGAGAGGAAAAAAAAAACGAAACAGCTGATTAGAACAAATGAACGGCAACGCTTCGAAAAAGCTGGTCATACATCATTTGTTTACGTTCGTGATTTCGCGCTTGGTCGCTTTCCCAATATCTGTGAGATGTGCGACAATGAGCTAAGTTCACTAGGCACTGAGACTTGTGCCAGGCTGCCTGCGTCGTGTTTCCTTCTACCGTAACATATCACACATGAGAACCCGCTTGTCCAACAGGCCGCTCACTTTTGTGATGGCAGATGATCGCGGGGGCACCGTATCAGCTGTGAGCATTTACCGGCTTGGTACCAGATTGCACGAAATGGGGGGTGGTGCTTTATGCAAGCATACGGACAGTAGAAGATACTTACTTTAGGGGTCCGAATCGCTTCCATTGCGGTCCAATCAAGAGGAAAATAAACTATAAACACATGAGGAACTGCCTCCCCCACATACAGAGGAGGGATAAGAGTTTTGTTTACGTCCCCCCTAAAAACCACACGCAGGCTTGCCGCTTCGCTACATCTCTCACATTTGTACTTTTGTCGCTGCGTTCCGCTTGCCATAAAAACTAGCGCTTGGAGCGCCAACGCGTGGTTGGCGCGCACTTCGAATATAGCTGTGGGCTAGCATATAGGCTTTCACCAAATCAAAGTCTACACGTCCGAGAAAGCGTCATCATAATCAAGTACGTGAACTGATAGTTGCACCTGCTTAGTTTTTTACGCTAAATTTGCCTTTGCCGAACTATCTCTTGCGATTCCAAACACTAGTGACTAAACCAAACCTCATGTTATAAATTATGACCAAGCAATAATAGCCATCTTGTGCGCTTTTCCTCTCCCAGGGCACAGCTCATGGAGGAAGGAAAGCTCCTTCCTCGATGGCACAGCTAGATCACGAAAGAAGCATGCGCATTATCAGCGGGACATCACGTTGTTGACACTATAGTGAGTGCCAATTTTTCAAAAAATGAAACAGAAGCGATATCATATATGCCGTTTGTAGAGAAAATATACTGCCGAACGGGCACAAACTCTTTTTAGAGGGCAGATGTGGCATCCCAAAATTAACGAAGCTAGTTTCTCCAACGCGTGCCGTACATGATTACAATAAACAATTCTTCCTCTTATCTAAGCCGCTGTGATAGTTGTGCCAGAGAACATCCGTTTTGATTGCGATTCAGGTGCGTTATCAAGATTGGACTTTTCAATTGTGATTGGTTGTTGCGCGCAAGATACAGAAATGACGTTAATCACGTTCGAAAATTCAGATCCAGGGTGGACTTTGTGATCGACATCGTGATCGAAACTGCTCGGCATTGTGACTGAACCTTCCGATACGTAGTAACATTCGCATGATTTGGTTTTTGTTGTAACAAAATTAGTTTATTGATGTGAGCCTTGAGTTTTGTGAACAAAATATCTGAAAAGAAATACGTGAACGTAGCTTGGTTGCCTTCGTTTTTCAAAATCCATCTTTGCTCCAATGTCTATGCATTTCTTCTTTCGAGAAAGCAACATATATGTGCATAGACGCCGTCGCTGTGTTGTCACTAATGCGATGACACGTCATGCGCGACGTGAGCACCGAGTGTTGGAAATCACGTGTTCTATTGCGTGGAGGCTGGTGCCTTCTTCACATAGATGACCTCGCAAAAGGATAGACAAAGTGGCACAAATTAATTTCCTTTTGGATCAAAAACGAGTTCGTCATAACTTTGTGACTGCGAGATTTCGCGGCTATCGAGAGAATCAGGCGCACGTGTCTTTGGTTATGTGATAGTGCACAGGTTTTTGGTTGAATGGCACAGTCGTCAGCAGGATTTTCTCTTGAGCGGTGCAAACCAGTGTTGCATCGCGGGGGGGGGGGGGGGTGGGGGGGGGAGAGGAAGAGAGCACTGATGTAGCATGGGTGAGGGCAAGTTCTGGTGAGGGGCAAGAGCACTTTTTGGAAACCCCCTGCCGATGCTCATGTTTAATAGTGATTGTTTAATGCATATACACCATTTACACAAGTGCGAACCTTGCATGGAATAATATCCTCATACCATGCTGTCGCTTCCAATGCTTCGCCGTTCAGAAAAAATTGGGGCTTTTTCTTCTTTCCTCCGATTTTCCTTTGGTTTATTCTGTAATGAGCAGCCGTAGTCGAAGGCTCGGCTCTTCGTGTTACTTTTTTGTGCTGTCGTGTGGCCAGTTACGATTGGCAGAGGCATGTAATTACGGTCGTCGACGACATGACGCCGCTGACGAGTGCTCCGCGCGCATGGCCTCGGCCACAAAGACAGAGACAAAGGTCATAGCCATAGCCGTCAGGTTTCAGCAACGCCGATGAGAGCCGTCAATTATTCTACCCACTCCCAGGAGGCCTGTCGGCCGCCTCCCCGCCATATATCGCCGAGGATACCACGACCCAACTCAGTCACCCCCATATCGGCTTATCAAGAGCCCTCATCGGCAGCGACGATAGCGACCTGCTGCGGATTATCTTCCTTCTTCTTTTCATCTTTCCAACTTCCACCGTCCCAAAGGCGCTGAGCCCTGTCTCCACATGGGAGACAGAAAGTAGCGCCTCCTGGTGAAAAATACTTACGCAGGGCTTGAGGGCAACGAAAGGTGGGACGCCGTAGCTCGCGCATTTTGGAACCGAGCAGATAATCCCTCTATTTCGTTGACCGTACCAATGCTGCCTTGGGGCATTCCTGCTCACTAGCGCTTCATGCGACAAATGTGTGTGGTGCCTCACAGATGCTTCAATGGGGAGGGGCCGCCGACCTTCGAAAAATTTAGACGGACGTATCTTCACACATCTACTGAAATTACACTCGATTCGCCCTACGCTTTATGAGACCGTGTGTCCAGGGTGTGGTCGTAGGCCGGCTCTCTACCACATATCGTGGGAGTGCGATTGTAAAGCAAGCTACTTAGCCGATTTCCTCAGCAAACCTTTAAGACACAACTCACCATCTCGGACCTGGGAGGGTAGCTCACGCTCCTTGATCAAGAATGGCGGACGGCTAAGGCCAGTGGAGCCATGGACGTAAGGCCTCAGCCATGAGAGCTCCCAAGTCTCCCTTTCCGTTTAATGAAGTTCCACTCTCTCTGTCTCCCGCAGAGCCTAAACTTCTTAACGACCATTACTACGTCACGAGATATTCATTAGTGACGTAACTTTACATATATCTCGCTGTCGAATCAGGTTAAATGATCCCGAAGAGCGCATCCTTATCAAGCAATGCTCTTGCACGCTCCCACAGTTGGCCCCGACAAAAACCTCAGATGCGTCTTCATTGCAGGTCAGTGAACAAATGTTGGCTTTTATTTTTGTTTGACGTTGTGACTAGACTATCGCAGTAATGTTATGAGACATGCCTTTAAGGGCCCCAGACCACTGAGATGTCGAAATATCGTTGGGGTGTTGCAGTTGTGTACGAGCCTTCAACAAACACGTAGCCGCGAGAATTTTTCGAAACAGTTACACGCGTTTCATTGTCCGAAAGAGGCCCGCGCTCGTTTCGCTCTTTCCTTCGCTGTGCTCCGTTTGTCGGCTCGTCTCACCTTACATGGGGGACCTGGGTGGCGAATCTTGGCGAAACAACCTCATCGTGGACAATTCTCCTTAATTATATACATGCCATCTTAGGGGGGGCTAGTAATTAAAGCCTCACCCTATAGTGCTCGAACCCGGGCTTGGGTTTCAAAAGAAATTTTTTTTTCTCTTTCTCACCCACCTGGCAGAGTGCTCCTTTTTACCGCGCGAGGAGGAAGAGTGGTGAGTGACTGTAACTGCGGGCAGACAGGTCCTCATTTGGATGACCTGACCAGACGTGAACGGTGTCATCACGTCTATCTCTGGGGATTGCCAGAAGGTCCGGAGAGTAGAACGGAAAAGGAATCGTTTCTTGGAAATTGTGGCGCACCCGCAGCTCCCGTTGCCGCGTTTGGCACTGTTGATCGTGACCTCATTATGAGCTCGATGCGTGCGTTTGCTTCAAATGTTAAAAGAATCATCGGAGGGTCTTAGGATCCCTCTCATTCCTTTACTACAAAAATTGTTTTCTCTGCACTGCTCCGAAACTGCCTTTATGGCACGACAGAGCAGTACGCCGAGAAAAATGACATAGGAAAACACGATACAGATAGCACAGCGTAGTAATAACAAAAATAATACAATGCAGTAGTAACCTTCATGGAAGGTTATTGTGAAACATCACGTGATAAATTAAAAGCGCAAGCAATCCGACAGGCACATACGCGCTCTGCGTGCTTTGAGCGCCTTGAGACCGATGAAAACTGCGCCTAGAAAAGGTTATCGAAGTATCTAATGGCATCATCGCCTGGAATGTACCCTGAATATACAATAGTGCTGGTACCGCTGTCTTTAAATTGCTGTCGTAGTGCACGACAACAAACATGGGACGACAACAGAAAACACTACAGCTACAACAATGTACCGCAAAAAACAACAATTAATTAGTTCTAGCCGGGATTTTCTGGTCTTGGTGCTCGTATCAAAGCCCTTGAATGAGTTCATCACGAACGTTCAATCTCCACTCTCGTAGGCAGACTTCCAGATGTCGGCAAGGCACACAGAAGCGTGGAAACGGTAGAATAGCATCAGCGGGAACGTGGAGTGCTTGACCATGACCCAGGCGTCGTCGCCGAAGCAGAGGCGGACGTTCTGGTTCAAATGGTGCTTCTCCATGTTGAACGTATTGGTCACCCAGATGGTGACGTTGCAAATGACGAGGAAGGTGACCATCTCTCGGCCCGGCTTGGTGAACCGGTGCCGCCTCGAGTTGCTGCAACGGCGGAGGCCGTCGCTCAGGAATATCGTCTGCACCACCACCTGGGCGACGGTCAGCAGGTGACTGACGACGCTCGTGAAGTTCCAGTACCACACGTCCGCGGTGACGGACATGATATAGTATACGAAGTAGAAAGGCAGCGGCACGTACAGCAGCACGTCGTCGAGGAGCGTGATAGGGTGGATGTTGCAGTCCAGCTTGGAGATCTTGACGTAGCCCCAGACGACGGCCAGGAGGGACACGACGATCAAGACAGTGTCCTGGACGAGGAAGATTATGCTCTCGACGCCGTCAAAACGGGGCCCGCTGAACGCCACCTGGCCGATGACGAGAGACACGATGGCCGTGAGCAGGAGGAAGATGCCGGCGAACAGGCCCTTGTTGGCGGCGTGGCAGTCGGCGCTGACCACCAGGTTGCTGTGGTAGCTGGCGTCGTGCTGCTGGTCGCCATTCGACTCCGCGAACACCGACTCCCGCCGCGCGAAATGGTGGCTCGGTTCGGTGCCCACGTTCTGCCACACGATGAACCAGACGCCCGCGAGGATGATGTTGTACTCGATTGTGAACGGGTGCAGGTAGGGCGTAATGGCGACCGTGTTTAGCATGGGACCTCCGTCGATGCTCGAACCATTGTCATGGTACGTGTACGCTGTCTCGTTCATCACTGCTGAAAACGTGAAAGAGAGGAACGAAGACGATAAATGGCAGGGTATCGAGCCTGTCAGGCAT